CTAGGCAACCCGGTAGGTAAGATAGTTTATGAGGTTTTTCGAAGAGTTTTTTGCGTTGGAGGATTCGGTAAGTTGTCTCTTAAGTGGAGACCTGCAGATAAGGAATAAAATAATATATACAAAAATACATAACACCCACCAAATCAGCTATCTAGGCTAGGTTCAACAGTATCTGTCGCATTGCCCGGTGACCGCAAGTGCCACGTCGAGTCCTGCACGAGATAGAACGGATTCTTATCTCGCGACGCGGAAAGCCGGCACGGCAAACGACGGGGCAATGGCGACATAATTATTGTGACTAATAATAATAGCCTTACCTGTCCACGTCCCCGCAGAATGACTCGGGAATGGTGTTGGAGGTCTTCTTGAAGTAGTGTCCTGAAAGTAAGGATTTCATGTTTGAGCCCGAGGCTCCAAAGTGGTACGTTCTTGGATACATCAGGTAACGATGCACTCCCCTGCATGACATAAAATGTGGTACACACGGTTTGTTTGGTGGATAGCTTAGTATGGGCAAGTATGAGGTGGTGCCATTTTTTTCCTCTGAACATTTCAGTCACCAATACGCTGTAATACATGATAGACAGTACATAAAGCATCCAAAGAAGAAAACTGAAGCCGAGATTTATTCTGAGTGGTAAGCAAAACACAAATTATTAACCTAGTGGTCTAAATCAAAATAATTCTCTTCCTGTGCCATTAAGGTGGATCTGCACACAATGAAAATCACATAAACTAGACACACATTGATAGTAACACATGAGTTGATAGAGAAAAAATAGCAGCATTTGCTCCCTCGACTGACCTCCTTTCCTAATGAGTCCAGTCTATCCACATTCCAGTCCACAGCTGTGTACGGGAGATGGCATTAATAGACAATACCTCGAGGCCATCAAATGGTCTTCATTCCGGCGTGCGCAATAGCGTGTGACAACGCGTAGTAAACACCGCGAAATAAATGCGCCTATAACCTGAGTTTGCGTGCTTGTTTTACACGATACTTACGAACCAAGCGATATTATAAGGTACTTTTTTCAGAGGTTTACTGTAAAGAATTGGCGGCATCCCACACGCTATGTATCAGTAAGTGCTCAAACCCAACGCATGAATTTCCCACACTGTGACTATATACACCCGTAAACCTGGCAAAAACCGTTAAATCTGACGAGCTATATATAAACCATGTCAGGCTGGCCAGTTTTGGTTCAAACTCATCTTGTACAGACTCCTCTTCAACATCACTGTGAATGATATAGAAGACCACAGCAGACAGCATCATGACAGGTACGTACTACACAGAACAATGTGCCATGCTATCTATGTAGGTAGGTACATACATACGTACTAGAACGTGATGATCGAATGCATTTTGGCGAGCGTACGCAAGAGTTACAGGCACATTCATTATGCGACGATTGCGAAACTTCAGTCACGTGCGTACTGTCTGGTGTACGTAGTTGACACTCGCTGCTTTGCTCTTGCCTTCTACCTCATAGTTGACACAATGCATGTATTTAGAATCACGTTTGCATTATCGGATGGCTTCATGGGTATGGGGTCAGAATGTCTAGAATCCCGTTTCAAAGGTCGCTCCACTGTCAACCTGCTGCACTCACCAGCCGAGACCAGCATCGTCGCTACTCTCTAGAGGAGAGAGGGGTCCTGACAAGAGTGGTCGGAGCTGGTCGTTCCCGGCCGATATGCAGTATGACGAGGAATCAGACTCCAGTACGAGGCATAGTCTGACTGAAGTAGACGAAGAAGTCAAGAGAAACGCAATCGTCCTCAATGATGATCATTACGGCCCACTATGGGGAGAAGGGACTGAGTTGAATGGTTTGACCGTACTCAATGATGATCATGTCACTCTGGGGCATATGGTGAGGGAAGGTTGAGTGACATGTTGACTTATAACACTAGAACGAAGTTTGGTGTATATAGTTACAACACTTAACCAGCCACGGACGCATAAATGTGTCCAGAGCCTCCATACGTCCATAAGAATTTATTAGGTTATAATACTAGGGCGCTAATACTTTATACATCAATTTCTGCTTTGCAAATGATACCCATGGCGTTAAAATGTTAAATATTTCGCGCGCTTTTGAACGTTACGTACGTCCATCACACACACACTTCAAACCCTACTGTAGATTCGCTTCACTCGTCAATTAGTCAGTAGGGTGATGGAGACTCACTAGATGGTGGTCAAAGGTGTCAGTGAGACTTGACTTGTAGTCTGAGATATCCTCCGTTCTTCAGGCTCTCTTTGGTTCATGCTGTGAGCACCCAACCAATGAGACTAGTCAACAAAGCTTGGCTATAGACCATGCACTTTAGCTAGCCAACAGACCATGCACTTAGCTAGGAGGAGGCCAGACAGAACCTGCACTTTAGCTAGGCCAACAGACGTGCACTTTAGCTATGCCGACAGACCATGATTTGCACTTTAGCTAGCGCCAAGCATGTACACATGTAGCACTTTAGCTAGTGCCTAACAAGACCATGCAGCTTTAGACTAGGCGCAACAGACCGTGCACTTTAGCTATGCCAACAGAGACCATGCACTTACAAACACCCCCACCACCAACACAACAACCACCACACCACAACCAACACTAAGCTAGGCGTGTACAACTAACATCGTTGTATACATCGTGAGCCTCATATAATATTCAGGGGTGTATGTATAATGATCCAGCCTCCATATCATACCATGAATGCTCTAATGCCAAGAAGCTCGCGACGACCTCCTTTGGTTCTTAAGACATAGAATCGATCGACTGATAGAGCATGCTCTCAGGCGAGTGAAGTCGTTGGCGTACCCTTTGCAGCCAGCGTCTCGCACCATCCTGGCAGGATACGTCCGTAGACGACAGTATGTATTAACAGAAGAAAAATGGTATGATTTCGTCAAATTAAACTATCAGCTAGTCACTATATATGCTACTAGCAGGGAGTTGTCCTACCTCAGGGGAGTTATTTTGGACCCGTCCGTGTGCTCTTCGTACAAGTATCAACTGTCAGCCAATTAATGTTCCCCTATAGTGTTTCACTAATCAACATACTCCTCATTTTTAATTTTTTTAATGAGAGAGCTATATTATAGTGACATGGTGTATGTGGCTAGTATACTATATGTTGAGCCATTCTCGCAAGGATGATTAGATGATCTCACACAAAGGGAGCAAATTCAATGCTGAGCATGTCCTGTGGGTACAAAAAAGAACATACCGAACCAGGTACTGTGTGACTGTTTGCTGGCAATGATGGCGACTGGATGCTGGTAACTCGACGCCAGGGATAAGGGGAGAGCGAATGGAGAGAGGAGTGGTTGGAGCAGTGACACAGACTCCCTGTAACCCTCGTAGCGAGACACAGAACGACCGACGTTTGCGTCTCGGAGAATCTTGGCTCAGTCACACACACGCACCGCTGGGGGAGGAGGGAGGGATGGAGTGAGGAAGAAGAGGACACTATCTTCTATTTCTACTTTCTCCAAAACAACCTTCTTGGCATTGAAACAAAAACACAAACATACAAGACACAATACCATAATCATGCCCACACATTACAATGGCAGTAGGTAATAATGATGTAATCTATATACTGGTTACATGAGGAACCACTTTATCACACCACAGTAAGTGGGGAGATGTGGCAGTATACAAGGGCTAAATTTAGACATTCTTACTAAAAATGGAAATTACTTGCATTCTTTTACTAGGTCCTTGACACATTCCCTTTAACCCACACCAATATACCTGTATAGCTACTACATACAGTGAAAAAACTAAGGGACTTCTTGGATATCTCTTTTACTCAGAGGTGTCTCTTATGGAGGTGTAATATACAACGTTCTATAAGGCAGAACCAAGTGCCCTTTATAGAGAGGTGTGCTTTATTTGGAGTGCTGTTTTCGGATGTTTCATTCTATATACATAATTAATGACTGTCAGTAGGGGGGCTAACCATCGTCAGTGAGAGGGACAGTGACTCGAAGGTTGACTGCGTTGCCCCACGTCGTGGGGTTAGGGGATTTCCCCACATCTTCTCCGACCACGCCCCCTTCCCCTCCCTTCACCACCACCAAGGCCCACATATCTCTCCAGCTTAAAGACTCTGTGCGTGTGAGAGAGAGTTTGCATCTAGCAGTACACTATACAAGAATATGTAGGTAGCAGGTTTTTATATACGCTTTAAAAGAATGGGTTTTTACTAGTTGGGATCTGCACAATTGGTTGTGTACTTTTTGTCACATACACGTGATCAGAGGGACCTACGATACATTGTGATTCTGTGGACATGGTTATCACATATGTGTCATGGCATAAGAGGTGTAGCTGCTTTTTTCATTCTAGGGTTCATACGGAACAAGAGTCACGTGCTCCTGGCCTTTTTGCAATACCTATACCAGTAAGTGATGATTGACGTTAGGAGAAGAGGGCGTGAGAAAAGGAAGCGGTTTACTCTAGTGACAGACAATGATGGACTCACTCGCCAATCGACTTCCCACTGCCCCCAGTGCACTTCTGGCATCGTCATTGAGAGAAAATGTCCCTTCATCCTACACAGACAAGACGCGGTATACGACGTTCATTCATCTCTACCAACCATTGAACACATACATAGATAGCATATACATGGAAACTGCAAAAAGAAGATGATTTTCCGCTCATGTGCCTACAACAAATGCAAAGTCGTTGACACCTCATTTAAGGGGGACAGCGAAATTTGGGCAAGATTGGGATAGGTGCAGCGAGATAGAAGATTATACCATTCCATACTCCAACTGTAACAAAAGTATTAAGGATAGTTGGTTTGTCTCTTTTTCCACTGATGTGCTTACAACAAATGCAAAATCATTGACACCCTTATATAGGGGGGACAGCAAAATTTGGGGGTAGGTGCTGCAAGATAGAAGATGTCACCATTCCATGCTCCAACTGTAGTCAAACTATTAAGGATAGTTGGTTTGTCTCTTTTTCCACTCATGTGCCTACAACAAATGCAAAATGGTTGACACCCTCATTTAGGGGGACAGCGAAATTTGGGCGAGATAGGGATAGGTGCAGCGTGATCCCATTCCATACTCCAACTGTATTAGCGATAGTTTGTTTGTATTTGGTGATACAGGGCGTGCAATTGCCTTGCTGGCTCAACATCGTGATTTTTGTGTGAAGTTTGTAAACAAAGATGTGTGTTTGTACTATGTTCATTGAAAAGAACGAGTGGACCACCGCTGTTACATACATAAGTAAACTACAGAGAGAGAATTGGCCTTACGAGGATTGCAAAACACATGATTCTCTCGTCACTGATGGAGTTTATGAATGTCACTAGAGTGTCGGCAGCACCCGGAATATACGTGTCAAAGACACGAGCCGCCATTAGAGCTCCCTGGGGGGGAAGACAGAGAGGGGGGAGAGGGGGCAAATGGACAGAGCAACGGGTCAATGGAGAATGTTTAACAGAGGACGAGAACTCACAGTTGCCTGGTTGAGAATTGCCACATGCATGCCCCTCTGGTCTTTACTGCTGCTGCTGTACACCTGAAACGTATGGTGAAAAGTCTATGACTAATGCCAATACCAGTGTATGACGTCATTAGAGTAGTTAGACTCTCTTCAGAAGGCTGAGGGAAAGACTTGTGTCAGTATAATCGCACATGTTCAAGGAAATATTGGTTACTACATAAGTATGCTCAGACATAGTTACATGGTAACTGAGGATAAAGTCGTGGTATGGAGCAGTCAGCTTCAAATGGAAAAGACTTGTGTCGGTAAGCCCAGTATGAACATTTCAGGGAAGGACTCACAATATCATCTCCAGAGTACACGGCTGCCCTCTCCTGACTGGACTCCACCCTCAGAGAGAGGAACCTCCGGAGACTTCTCTCTCCCCCAACGTGTCGTCTCCCTCCCTCCTTCTCCCTCACCTCCCCCACCACCTCTCCCTCTCCTTCCGCATTCCACCAACCATCTGCAGCTACGTATGTGTATAGAAATTCAACGGGCTCCATAACCAGTGGGCAAGAAAACTATATATTATATATATATAGAACACTGGATATCCACACCAGATACCTTGCATAGGTTGATCAACTATACTACGATCAGAAATTACCCAATATATAATAAGGTTACCTTGCAATGGTTGGTGGTTTACTGACAGGTCGACGATGAATACGACGTTCAGTGTGAACATCAGCACTAGAAGAAACGTTACCACTATCTGCAGCGAGAGAGAACACAGGTAGCGATTGTAATGTATGGGGTTCTACTATAATAGGTGGTCTGCTAACGAATGGGAGAACTCACCGTGCATTTCCTTCTCCCAAACGGCATTATGGATAGGCTGCAGCACTGTAGAAAAAGCGCCAAGCACTGCGATCTTTCCACCGCACTTCGCTTCGTTCCCAATGAGGAGGCGTGGCAGAGTTTCCGGGTCGAAGGTCAGTAATAAATTTCTGAGTCAGCAACTGGGGCGCGTCTTCTCGTTTCCCCTACCGTCTCTTGCCGTCTACTACAGAGAGAGAGAGCATGTTTTCTCACTTCGACGGGCAGTACCGCTCCAGACCTCGCGTGTCCCTCAGAGGAGCCAGTAAACAGGCAAGCAGAACCTCGTTTCCCACGACTGATGCTCTTTTGATATTTGTTTTTTGGGTGAAGGAGGCGAAGGACACGTTGCTACAGAGGGCACACCTAGAGAGAGAACAGAGAGAGGTGAGGGTGCTGTATATGTAGGGTATATGTGTACCTGCTCTATTGTCATGGACATGTTTTTGGGTTTCAGAATGCCCGGCGACGCACTGCAGCTGCGGTCTCGGTCCAGTCCTTGTATCGAGGCCACAGAGACAGAGAGAAACAGGTGAGGACTGTATGCAGTTTTAGCACACAGCAAACCCCATATATACCTCTTCTCTCTCTCTCTCTCTCTCTCTCTCTCCTTCCCCCCTCTCTCCCTGGAAGTATGGTGTCTTTAGAGCTCAGTTTGACAATAGTACAGCAGGCAATGACCTACAGTCCCTCTCTCGACTGCTAATCATCTTCTACACTGAGAGAAAAGACCATAGCAGACTAGTGAGTCACATCGACATCTCATGTTCGACATCTCATGTGTACACATCTCATGTGTACACCTTTCCCTTCTTAATGTATGGACTATTACACTTTGGTGTATGTTACCCCAGCAACGGCGTGTTATACAGCATAGTTTATCCGCCTGTATATAGTAACACCAACAGCTGAGGGCTGAGTCACTCCACCCACTTTCCTTTCCTTATAGGGAATTCAGGCATTGCGAAATGTACATATTGTATATATATACCTCGCTGAAATAACATATTAATGGTAGTCTGGGTCTTTCCCCCCACTTTATCTCTCCAGAACTGCCCCCTCCTTCCCTTCCTTATTTCTCTCTCCATTCTCTTACCCAGATATTCTCTGTCAGAAGGGCTACAGTCAAGCAACGGGATATCTCAATCTGCTCGACATCGTGGCTTCATACAGTCCAGTCAGCGGCAGCTCTGAAGCCTCTGCTCGTCACACCGATGAGCGCCTTCGCCGTCCTCAGGGACGTGTGTGCAATTCTCTGCAGAGCAGCGTCGCCTCTGCGAAGTCTGCAGTCTCCGATCAGCACCCATACTCGCGTCGCCTCAGGAAGCTCTGTGAGGTTGAATATGCCTCTCTACAGTCGCATAGCGAGCAGGTTCATGCGAGATAGAGATTGTTACCATGCAGACTCGACTTTGGACAAGCATGTAGCGATAGTGACTGCGGTGAGTTGAAAGACTTTCTCCACCGATGTTGTAAAACGATGCAATCGTGTGACTCTCATTAGGTGGGGACAAGCGAAATTGGGCGAGATAGGAACAGGTGCAGCGAGATAGAAGATTATACCATTCCATACTCCAACTTTAGTCAAAGCATTAAGGATAGTTGGGTCGTCTCTTTTTCCACCGATGTGCGTACAACAAATGCAAAATCGTTGACACCCTCATTTAGGGGGGACAGCGAAATTTGGGCGAGATAGGAACAGGTGCAGCGAGATAGAAGATTATACCATTCCATACTCCAACTGTAGTCAAAGTATTAAGGATAGTTGGTTTGTCTCTTTTTCCGCTCATGTGCCTACAACAAATGCAAAATCGTTGACACCCTCATTTAGGGGGGACAGCGAAATTTGGGCGAGATAGGAACAGGTGCAGCGAGATAGAAGATTATACCATTCCATACTCCAACTGTAGTCAAAGCATTAAGGATAGTTGGTTTGTCTCTTTTTCCACTCATGTGCCTACAACAAATGCAAAATCATTGACACCCTCATTTAGGGGGACAGCGAAATTTGGGCGAGATAGGGATAGGTGCAGCGAGATAGAAATGCGGCAGAAACTGACAAAGCAATATAACTGTTTATCTAAACACAGCAGATCAAATTTTCCCCAACGAAAAGTGTTAACAGTGCTAATCTCGGCAGAACCGGAGAATACACTGCGAAGGCTATATATTACAGTAGGCTCATAGTCATGCATAAAATGTAAGTATGATGATGTAATACTTTTGTGGATTTCACCAACTTGCGAAGGGCACACAATTTTGTTTTAGCATCCTGCGTTTTCCAAATGCTTGGCTTGAGAGTTTTTCATGACGCCAGTTTTGTATCTACTGTTGCAGGTTATTTCCAGGCACTACAGAGAGTCCTGGAGACAAGGGTCCCGCCCCCAGACGGTCCTGACTCCGCCCACTCCGCCCTGGCCGACAGTCTCCTGGCATTCCTCACCCTCCCACTCCTCCGCCCGGGCGGAGACAGGTCAGCTTCTTCAACTAGTGCGATTTCAAATGAACAAGTGTATTCAACCAACTGGACGTTTAAATATAAGTTAGATGCCGAGTCCAGGAAACTACGCGCATTAGAGAGCCGCGGGGGCCCCGGACTGTCGGCGTTCGAGCGCAGCGAGGACGCTACTAAGGGCCCCCAAGGCGCTCTAATGCGCGTAGTTTCCATGGACGAGGCGTCTAACTTGTTTAGAGCTATGGCAACGCGTGCGCGCAATTAACATTCGGTGCATTGTGTGAAACCCGCGAACGAGCGCTGCTTTCTCCGCTGGAAGCTCGATGCGAGAGCCCCAGGAGCGACTGTCGACACGGCGCGCCTCTCCGCTACTTTCGCAGGACCGTTCGGAACTCCGCCCAACGTAACGTGAGCCATTGCGCATGCGCCAAATTTTAGAGTCCGAGAGAAAGTTTATTTTAGAGTCCGGAAAATTTGCTCTACTCGAATTAGAGTCCGCGCATGGACCAATCAGATTGCGCGATTTAAATTACCCAGCTCGAGACTATCTGTGTGTGTGAATGAACAGTTGTACTAACATGTCTTGTAAAGCCCAATACGGTGTGAGGTAACTCAGATATCTGGAGAGGAGGTTTGAGTGAGTGCTCAGCAGACCCTCAACTCCCCACACGGCACATCTCCTCCTCCCCCACCTCTCCCGCTCCCGCGCTCCCACTTCCCCACGACTTATCACACACCGTCACACTTCTCTCATTGCAACTCCCTCCCTCCCTCACTCTCTCTACTGTTTTCCATCCTTCAGCTAACCCAAGGAAAACTAGGTGGGTCTTATGTATCTTCTCTGACCTTTACATTCTTATTCCAAGAAGTTCACGTGTTGAATGATTTTGTGTAAAAAAGTGTTCCTGAAAGCTCTAGCAATGTTCTGGAATAGAAACGAAGTTTACTCTGCATTGCATCATCTTTCTGTCCATGTACAATGCCTCAATTTCTAACCTTCCATAAGAAGCTGGTAGTACATGTGGCTCTCACGTATACAAAGTGTATTTAGCATTTAGTTTTATAATGACAAAGTTGGATCGCTAAGACAGCTAGAATACCATTATTTTTCCTACATATTAACACTTTAGGTGTTCTTCAAAATGGACTATGGCTAATTTTTACCCCTCCCCTCTCCCCTCTCTCCCAGCCACCCAACCACCACCAATCATTTCTCACTACTGCCACATACTATCGAGACTAATATCTCATCAAATCAACCCGACAACACAGTGGGCGGAGCCAGACACTGACGAGTTCCTTAACGAGTGGGAGGAGCACGAGGAGGCGGACTTTGACCCCCTGGAATCTCCCAGGGAGCTGCTTGGGAGCTGTCTCTCTATCATTGTCTGTGACAGATATCTCCCGCTCTACCTCCGCAGACTAACGTCAGTCAACATCAGTACAAATACAATGTACAAATAGTCTGGTTTGATGGTCCAGTAATTATGATAATATATATATAGGAAGCTGCTTAATTCTCACGTATTCCTAAAATAACACTCTTTGGCTAGCTTTGACAGGCAAATCATCATTCGGAATTATGGTGATAACAACAAAGATTGTATGCATGGAACAGCTGAGTTTATAGTGGCAAAGCATGCTATATTTTCAGAGTCTTTTTGCACCTGGCAATGCAGCAGCAACAGCACCCGCAGTCAGGCTTAAAATTTCAACAACTTTTTTGGAAAGGCGTGAACCTTAATAATATTAGATCTCTCTATACTGTACTCTGTTCCAGGTCGTTCAGTGAGCCACTGCTCCGTGGGGTGTGTGGTCTGTGTCACCAGCTGCTGTTGGTGAGGAGACCTGGGGTCTTCCCTGCCAAGTTTCTCCAGCAACTATCAGTGTCTCCCAACCTCCTCTCACCTCTGTGGTCCACCGTTCAGTCTGTCACCATGGAGGGATTCAGGTGGGCGGGGCCTCTGTGCTGTATTGTCTACACCATACGTTCTGATACTGTAGTCATAGCAATGCTTTCTCATCCATGTCAGGAGTCATTCACTTTAAGAATTAGTCATAAATTTCGATCTCCACGCACCACCAGTAAGAGTTTAAACGATTTGGGATTTCTTGCAAGAATTTAAGTGGGAGAAACAATGAACAAATCATAAAGTCTTTGCCCTCATCTGACTGTTCCCTTCCTTCTCGCCTTATCTCGCTGTCCTTATTTCACCTTATAATTATCGCCATCTCTATTACTATCTCGCCTTGTCTTGCCGTCCTTTTTTCCTATCTCACCTTACTTATTGTGGCATAATGAAGTAAAGAATCCAAATATTCTCAATAGTACATTGTGCATACATTGCTCCATCCCCCAGTGGGTCAGTCCCGGGACTCCAGTTCCTGTCCCGGGGTGGGCAGCTCCCGTCCCGAGAAGGCCGGGCCCTCGTAGAGCGACTGGGGACCTTCTCCACTCTCCTCTCCCTCTACCTCTCCACCCTTCACGACGCAGAGTTCTACGGAGAGACATCGACGGGGGGCCATCTCCCCTTCTCGCGTGGCCAGTTGGTAGAAATGGTGGCTGTTCTCAGAGACGTGTATGTCTCCCTTCACATGGAGAAACACCTCCCCCACTCGTTATTCCGAGCCCCTGCTCGTCTGGTTGAAATGAAACCCTCTCCTGTTGAATACCAGCAACTGAAACAGGTGTGTTCATGCGTGTTTAACCAAAACAAAAATGTTTGTCGTTTTTCAACAGCGTACAATTTTTTTATTCTTCCATCAACTGATATCAGTCGCCTCACACCTACTACGTACCTTTTTCTGAGCACAATTTCGACTTTTCTGCAAGAATTGCGCACCTCAAATGTGTGGAAACTTACCCCCTCCCTCCTCCTCCTCCTCTCTCTCTCTCCCAGTGTGTCTACCAGCTGCTCTGTGGACTCCATGAGAGAGACAGTCGGCGGCCATTCTGTCCTCCAAGACACTGGGAGATGGCCCACCTCTCCAAGATCTCCTCCATCCCTCCCGATCTCTTCCTCGAGGCCGACGGTCAGAGTAAAATCGTCTTTGGTTGTGTGCCTGAATTTGTCAAGACCTTCTGATGTCTTAGCTATTTTTCCTTGCTGCCATCAGTCTCTCTCTCCCTTGATTCAAAAAAACAAAAAAACAAAAACGGCTTTAAATTTAATCCCCCAGTTTTATATTTTTAATCTTTTCTTTCTTCTTTGT